TTTTTATATAAAAATGAATGAATAAATAAACTCTTCTGTTTGTGACACTGGAATGGAGTCTGGTTCATCAGAGTTCAACTTCTTAAAAAAGAATATGCGAAAAAAAAAGTATTTTAACTAATTTGGGCACAGAGAGGAGAATATGATGTCACCTTGTAAGCAGCCCCTCCATGTATGATGGATTTGATGAAGATTCCCAGATCCTCCCCCGTCTCTCTGGACTTGTTCCCTTTGAGGCTGACACCGAGTCCCGCTGAGCCGCTGTCATTAAGGGGTATCTCAAACATGAGTTGTTCCTTTCCATTCTCTGAAACCACGCCAGGCGCACGAGACACCTCATCCTTCTGGGAGGAAGACAAGAAGGATTGAGACACATTGATGGCTCGGAAAGACGGGTAAAAACAGAGTGAGAATGAGCAAACAGGGTTCAGCTTATTGGGCTTGAATGGTCTCCAAAAGCTAAACTAAAAGCTTTTCCATTTGAGAGAAAGCATCACAAGGTGCTTTTCAGCTAAATTTCTCACTGACTGAAAGATGGTCTGAAGAAAACAGGTCTAAAGAAAAAAGCCATTTGGGCTTTTATATACACCCATTTTCCCCCCTCTCTCAGCTCTGCAATATCAATAAAAGTTGTGCATTTTGCAAAAGGTAATTGAAGAATTCAGCAAACACAGAAAGCCCGAAGGACAAAAGAAGCTACAGCAGAAGAGAATATAAAAGAAAGATTGCAAACGTGACAGAGAAATAGGAACCAAAGATGGACTTGTAGGGGTAAAAAAAAWTTTTAAAAGACCAAAAAAAAAAAGATGGTAAAAACACCAGATTACCTAAACACAAGCATGGCAGTAATGACTAAGTCCAGACCAAGTTTGAGGGAAAATACCGTAAACAAAGAAAAGCTACAGAACACAACAGATACGTGTGTTTGAATCCTGCGATGGCTCAGTGGGAGAGCTAACTGCTGCAGCTCGTATGGATTTTAGGATTTGTTAAAAAGAAACTTTCTAAAAAAAAAAGGCACAACAGATTCAAATCTTTGCTCATTTGTGAAACTAAAAATGACAAAAAAGTCCACTTTTCTAAGTTCTGTAGCTGATAACTAAGAAAGATACAGCTAAAAAGTAGAGACCAATTTGCAAATAGTTAAACCCTTTAACACATTTTAACAATGATTTTTTTTTAATCATTAACAGTATAAATGGTTGTTGTTTGAGTCTGAATTATGGGAAGCTAACAAGCATCTGTCATATTTTGTATAGCTAACAAACTGTGTTTTTTTTGTTTGTTTTTTAGGATCAAAGCTCTTTTTAACTCACCTCTCCTAGTGTGTGTGTATTTTAAGCTGCAAAAGGTAGCACACCTTAGTGCGAAAGACCGTGGACATTCATTCTCCCATGTTTGTTATGCGTGTCTTCTCCGAATGGATGTTCTAAACTGCAAGTTCCTAGYCTGTGTTTATCACTGACAATGRCAATAAAACTCTTTCTGATTCTGATTTTATAGAGCAGGGGTTCTTAACCTTTTTGACCTCAGGGCCCAATTTGTTGAACATAAAGTGGCACGAGGCCCAGTCACACATTACCAGTGTATGGATCAAAATGATAATTATTCTAAAGCTTGGTTTAATTTTTATTGTATTTACATTATAAGTAAATTAAATACACTTAAGTGTATTTTAAGTACACTTTAAAGTGAAACTCCTGTCAAATAATCACAAAACGTGATTATGACAAACATTTTTTTATATTGTTACCTGCCCATAACAATTATTTGGTTAAACGGTCAGTCAACAGACCACTCAGGTTTATCAACACAAATATATATATATATATA